AGACTGAGGAAGTCTCTCGGATGAGAGACGAAACGTTTCTACATTTTTTTGCTTTTTTTTTTTTTATTTTTTTTTGAATGTCCAGAGGACCAGATTGAACTTTTTTGGAAGAAAATGTGAAGGTAAAGGAAACATCCTTTGTCCCAAAGTCAGTTTAAGTAACATTTTGGTTACTTTATTTATTTTTTTCTTTATGAATCGATTGTAACTATTTTCAGATTATTCAACAACCAAAATGGATTTAGTTTTTTTTAATGTTATGGCTAGGTATTAAAAAACAAACATTTAGCCCTCCCCACTAACCATTTATGTTGCTCTTATTTTGAAATATAACTAGAAGTTCTGTGTTAATAGGCGGAAAGAGAAGTTATGGAGACGCCGCCACTGTTGAACCTGAGACCCCGCTAATGTCGAACCGGTTAACACCATAGACATAATATGTCTGTGGTTAACACAAAGGGCTTTTTTTTTTTAATTCAGCCTTTTTTTTTTGGTCCAATCAGATGTGGCCCTCCAGACATGCCCATTTTTCTATCGTCCAATCAGATGTGGCCCCCACAGATGCGCCTTCCGAATTCGTCTGCAGAGATACCTACTTGCGTAGGTGTGCCAGCAGTAAACAGGTGCATCTCCTTTTTTGTCTCAAATCATCTGCTTTTGTCCTGTGTATGTTTTTTTTTACAGCAGCATATTCTCTTGTGTGCCTGGGTTAGTTGGCCTGCATGGTATGCTGCCCTACATTAAACTTTCCACAAGCAAACCGTCCCACAACGGCAAATCAGCAGCAAGCAGCTCTGACGAACATGCCGTTAAAGTACCGTGCCTTTCATGGAGAGATAAAAGACACGAGCATCCTGCTGAAAGCTGTAAAAATCAAGAGACTGCAACAGTGTTTCTCATTCTTGAGTCTCACCGACTTTGAACTTCTCCTCCTGGATGCATTCTTTTCTAAAGTAATCACAGAGTGCCAGAAGATGAAGACAAGGTGCAGTTAATAGGCGTGCATATTTTCTTATGATGTAACGCTGCTGATGTTTTGCGGATGTTGTTTGTACTTCTTCCCACTAGTATAGGACACACACACACACACAAAGGCACACATGCTTTGCACCTTTACACAAACCTCCACAGACCAAAGCCCATAGAACATTTTCTTGTTCCTGGTTAAAACATTTTAGTTTGACTGCACCATAATTATCATTTATATATCAAGTAGATACTAATACCATAAAAAAAAGTATTTTCTTGTTCAGACGGACCTTTTCTGTCACTTCATAATCCATCTTGAAGGCCCAGAGCTGGAGTCTAGCTGAGAGCTCGCTGATGGAGGACAGAGTGAGGAGAAACTGTTCTGCAGAACCCAGTGGGACATCTGGGTTGGCCATCTGGGCCTCCTGGATCTTCTGCTTTTCCTCCTCCGTCGGAATCATGGTTAGGAGTTTCTGTGAGGGATGAGAGAGGACACTGAGTAACAAGTCTGAAGACTGGTTCAGGAGTTTCTTGCTTTTCGATCCTATTAGAATCTTACTTCGATGCCCTCCTTGTTGAGAGCGTACTCATCAAAGTTCAGGATGGCGGTCTTGATGGTGCGAGGTGGAGGTAGGACCGTAAGGCCAATGTTGATGGCATTACTCCTCTTGGAATCCAAAATGATGATCTCCTGACGTTTGCCATCTGCTGCTGTTTTCTACAACAAGAAAAAAACAAGTCTAACTAAGTCGCACGAAGACTTGGCAGTTATTTTTACGCCGGATGCCCTTCCTGACGCAACCACAGACCACCGAGCTACCACAGCCCTCTGTGTGGAGCAGAGAGCTGCTCTCTAGGACACCCAGAGGAGCATATGGTGGGGGTTAAGGGCCTTGTTCAAGGGCTCAGAGTGGAACGAATGAGGGTGGGGGCAGGTGTGGGTGCTTCACTTACCTAGTTAGGGGCGGCTGTGGCTGAGTGGTTAGAGCAGTCGTTCTCCAATGTGAGAGTTGGGGGTTTGAATCCACCAGCAGTCACATGCTGAAGTGTCCCTGGGCAAGAGACTGAACCCCTCATAGCCTCTGATGTGTGTCCCATCAGTGTAATGTGATCTAAAGCTCTGATTAGTCTCTTTAGAATGATTTGTTCAATTAGCTTTGTAGAGATCTAGTATAGAGCCGTATGAATGGGTAAATGAGAAACAGATTGTTGTGTAAAGCGCTTTGAGTATCTTGAAATAAGATAGAAAGGCGCTATATAGGTACAGTCCATTTACCATTTACCCCAGCCACATTTTTGATGTTGTCGGTAACAGGGCTTGAACCGGTGATCTTCCGATCACAGGCCCACCTTCTCTAGCCTCTGCGCCACCACTCCCCCATGATACATACTGCAAGAAGCACCAACAACCTTGCGGCCACAGCTCAAGGCAGCCACTTCAACAATTGAGTCGTGGAACATGGCCCACTTGAACTCAATGTTCCCCATCTCAGCTGGATGCGGTTAAAAATCTCCCGGAGGTGTGAGTTGAAGATCTCTCTGATAGGTTCTTCTGCCAGGTGTTCTCAGCAAACCCTCACTACATATTTGGGTCTACCGGGTCTGTCCGGCATCTTCCCCTGCCCTAAGCTCCAACTCACTATCAGGTGGTGATCAATTGACAGCTCAGCTTCTCTCTTCACCCGAGTGTTCAAAACAAACGGTCGCAAATCAGATGACATGACTACAAAGTCTATCATCGATCTATGACCTAGGGCGTTCTGGTGCCAAGTACACTTATGGACACCTTTATGTTCGAACATGGTGTTTTTTGATGGACAAACTATGACTAGCACAGAAGTCCAACAACAGAACACCACTTGGGTTCAGATCAGAGAGGCCGTTCCTCCCAATCACGTCCCTCCAAGTCACACTGTCATTACCCATGTGGGCATTGAAGTCCCCCAGCAGAATAAAGGAGTCCCCAGCTGGTGCACCTTCCAGCACCCACCCAAGGACTCCAAGAAGGCCGGATACTCTGAACTGCCATTTGGCACATAGGCACAAACAACCGTCAGAGCCCATTCCCCCAATCGAAAGTGCAGGGAAGCTACCCTCTCATCTACTGGGGAAATCTCCAACACACAGGCATCAATTCGGGGAGCTAAGAGTAGACCCACACCAGCTCAGCACCTCTCATCATGGGCAACTCCAGAGTGGAATGAAACACTATGAAATTTAACTGTTTAACTTGTTTCAAGATGACAAAATCCACTTTGGAGCTCTAGCTGGAACACTTATTGACAAGTCAACAATAGTTAGTCTGGATGGACCCAGTTCCAATGTGGACTGGACTACAAACTGGTCCAGCTCTGACACAAATTGCGGTGTTGAAGCAGTGGCTCAGGACTTTGAGAGTCCTGCCATGAGCTTAAACCATACATTTCCATTTGAGAGACTTTGTAATAATTACAAATAATAATAATAATAATAATTACAAGAATAATCAAAACCCCCAGTTAACCTAGACCAGAACACGAGGTCTTACTTTAACCCAAAGATCCACTTTCAGAAAAAAAAGTCACAAACTCAGACAGTGTCCGGCCAACAAGATATTAAACAAGATGTTAAAAAAACCATAGAAGCACAGTGAAAGAAGATGCCTTTTCAAGAATTAGTGGAATTTTAATTTAAACCTCAAATTAGTGTGAATGAAAACCCCCTGAAAACGTAATACTGTATCTACGAGCCATGATGTTTAATCAGACTTTAAAACCTTAGTTATACTTCTATTTTATTACAAAGAGTTTATAGTTGGACTCACTGCATACATTCAACATCAGGCTTTTACATTTGCAATAGTCAACCCTTTGATAATACTTTTGTTTTGGTGCCTTGCAAATTTAAATAGATCTTCAATTTGATTATAAGTAATAAGTTATGGATCTGCAGGAAATACTCCATAATGATGAAGTTAAATAGGAGCTAGAATGTTACTTAAAAAAGTCATAAAAATATATAAAACTAAAAAGTGGTGCAAGCGCCTGTATTCACCTCCTGAGCTATAACAGCCAAACTGTTGCAAATAAAAAAGAGTGGCAATCTGCAATCTGATGTAAACAAAAGCCAGCGACACTCGTTATAAATACCTTAGTAACAGGTATTTCCTTTGACTTGGTCTCAAACAGGTGTTCCAGTTTGCCCGTGTCCAGCTTTACAGGATCTACTTTGGACCAGAACGAGTCTCCACTCCACTTGTTGTCTCTGTACTGAGAGTCGGATGGCCGAATCTGGTGACAAACACAACAAGAGTGGACTGCATTATGAAGACACAATTTTTCTATTAAATGAAAAAACTATATAACGAAAACAAGGAGTTAAAAATATAAATGGTAAGAGGAATTTGTTGCGTGAGTTGCTGATGATAGTTCTTCAAAGAGAAAGATCCAAAAAAGGAACTCTTTATTTCCTGATTAATATATATATATATATATTTTACTCACCTCGCTCCAGAAGAGCCTGATGGTCTTCTTTTTTTTGTTAAAAAGAGGTGGCTCTGGGGGAGGAGCCACTGGTGCTGGAGCGCTAAAAGAGGGAGGGGGCGGTGGCCTCATAACTCCAATTAAAGGAGGGGGAGGGGGACAGCTACCTAGCATAGGTGGAGGCAGAGGAAAACGCATAATAGGAGGAGGAGGTGGCGGGGGTGGGAGGTCGCCACATCCTCCCATCAAAACAGCATCCAGGATATCCTTGTCGTCGTCCTCCGTCAGATCGGTGAAGTTGATGTCCCTGATGCACAGCTCTCGGGGGCTGGCCAGGAGCTGGTCCCAGATCGTGTCCGACTCCTTTTTGGGTGGGGGAGGAGGGGGATCGATGGTGGGGACATCCAGGTGAGGGTGGAGCGATCCGAGGTCCTTGACCAAGTCTCCGAACCGCTCAGCCAACGGACGGATGCTCCCTCGGAGCTCGGACTTGTCGTCCCTGTTGTCGCTTGGCAGGCCGTCACCCTGTTGTCCGTTAGCGTCCTGATGTGTCTCCCTATCCTCCCCCTCTCCCTTCTCTTTCTCTTTCTCCCCCTCCTCCCCCTCCTCCTCAGCGCTGGGCTTCGTGTTCTGGGAGTACAACATGTCCAGCATGAAGAGTTTGCTGTTGAGGAGTTTGTTGCAGTTTTCCTTCACCTCTGCCTCTTTGAAGCCTGAGGGGGAAAAGTAAAAGTGTTAGCTCATCATCCAAATCCTTTAATCCAATCCCTAAAAGCTAAAAGTGGGATTTGTTTTAAAACTGAACAATTTCTATTAGGAATTACCCACCATTCTCACAGCTGCCCCTCTCTTCTCTTTCCAGAGTGCTGCTGGCGGATGAGATGCTGGAGGCTGAGCAGTTGTCCTTCTCATTCACTTCCTCGTTCTGTCGTTCCTTGTCGCTGAGGATGCCGCTGTCATCCTCAGCTTCTTCGTCTCTCTGCTTACTTGCTTCCTGCTCGGGCTCCTCGACTTCCTTCTCCTTGTCTGCTGCCTCTTCTTCCTCCTGCACGTCCTCACTTTCCTCTTCTTTCTGCTCTTCCACTTCCCCGCTCGTGGCTTCTGTCACTTTCTCTTCTGTTTCTACGCTGGCGCTAGAGTCGTCAGCCTCTCCTGTCGCAAAAAAGTGTTACGTTCTGTCACTTATACTTCAATTGATCTTGCATATGGACTATAAACATTTGCCCAAGAAACATAGTGTGTATTTTAGAGAAACACTGTACAAACAAAGCCAAACAGCCATCTGAGTGATTTAAAACCATCTATATTTGGGTCACACATTAGGCACTGGTGTATTCATGGACACGCAGACGATAAAAAATAAAAGCACACAACTAAGTTCTAATGTAAACAATACATCAAGTACAGAAAACCAGGTTGTTGCAAGACCAGGGTATGAGCAGGAAATGAAGGCTGAAGTTCTTGTTTACATCAGATCACACCCATGTGCACGGTACACAGGCATAACTCAAAAGCACAGTCCGTGCAGTGATGCAGGCGGGACAAGAAAAACACAAGACCCCAAGGCCTCATGCGCACGCCTGTGAGAGCTACAGTACCCCCGCTCGTGGCGGCACTTGCACTCCACAACAAGGCCGTTTTCTAACACAAGATGTTTTGGTTTCAGTTTGTCAAAAGGTTCTTTCAAAAACCCTTTTGACCTTTGCACCTTTGTGCCCTCTGTGTTTGTTTCCCCTCACTTTGACCCCTCCCGTGCCCCCTCCTTTCATTTACCAGTTGCCACAATCTGTCTTTTTTCTTCCTCTACCGCTCACAGTTGAAGGCTAATTTACATGGCAGCCTGGAAAATGAACCAGTTTCAGGCTAAGAGTATTGCTTGGTGCCACAACTTGATAAATTACCTTATAGTTTTCTTAATGTCTCGAACAGTCGGTGCTATTTCTTGTTTATCTTGTATTATTTTATTTGAGTTTTATACTAACTACTGCAATTTTTAGTATTGAAAGAAGACAGATGGTTTTCAGCACAGTGTTACAGACAAAATATTCTCGCTTTATCTCACTTAATCAAAAGGAGCCACACTCGACGACAGGAGAAGATTTTTAACCATTTAACCTTTTTTTTTTTTCCTTTTTGCTTTCAGGGACAGATTTTCAGGACAGGTTACACAAATATACAGGAAGTACACACATGAAGACCAGTCAAAGACCAGTCACAAGAATCTGCCATGAGCCGTGCGTGCAGCTTGTTTTTATACACTTATCAGTTCAGACGAGCTCACAGACTCATAAGGCACTTTGGAGTGGCAGCTGCGTGTCTCAGTCTCAAATCAGCTCCTCATCCATCTCTGCTAACCCAAACATATGGTTCATGGGCACTTAACATTCTCAGCCATAGTAGTTAAAAACATCCATAAACTTTGACCAAAAATTCCCTAACACACAGCTTTCCAACATCACAGATAATCAAGCTTAACTTTCAATGTGCCATTTTATCATTACTGACTGGTGGATTACATTTATGTCTCCACAGTGAGAGGTTCTCAAGTTACAACTAATCTAATGTTGTATACAACTGCCTTTAAAAATGAGTAAATATAGTGCCCTTGAAACACTATAGACTGAAACTAAAAGATGTAGTCCGCACGTCTGAAAAACAAAGCCAATTCACAATATGTAAACCTGCTGTTTTTCAAGTGGCCAGTAGGGGGCTAGCTGTTTAGAAGATTATGACCCTAATTCACACCTCTACAAACAATTTTCATAGATTTTATTATTATTATTATTATTATTATTATTATTATTATTATTATTATT